AATTACCTAGAGCCGCCTCTGATTCTACATCCAAGATACCGTTGTTTTGAAAACACTTAAATCCACCCTGGGCTTATTTCTGTTTTTTTTAAGCCGTCGGCATCACTCGGTGTTCTATGACTCAATCCCTCTCTGAATGGCAAGCTATTCAGCCTGGAGCCTTTTAACGCTGGCTCCGAAATGAGACTCTGAACCTGAGAAGCTGAACTTCCGAAGGCACAAATGGAGTGCCCTTTCCCGCAGAGCCCTTGTGTCGTTTTGCAGAGCTTTTTCTCTGCCTCCAAACCTGTATTTGGCCTCCGCGAACTTCTCCCAAAAAGGAGCCGGCTTTCAAAAGAGCACCGTGGGGGAAATAGGGGAGGCTCGTCCAAAAGGAACATTGCTTTCCTTTCTTTCTTTCTTTCCTGCCCTGGAAGGTCGGGCAGAATTCATTGAGAAACATTGCAAGGAACCTACTTTGACTGTGTGGAATGGATTTGCGCAGGAGAGTCTCTTGAACAGGCCATTGCCCTCGTTCTCTGGCATTTTTTCTGGGCGTCCTTTGTGTTTCTGCAAAAGAGAAAATGCGGCATTAGAGTGACCCAGGACTTCAACTTGGTTTTGTACAATATGATGCTGTTTGGATGGAAAAGGCAAAACAACAGCAAGGTTTATGGAAGAAGTTTGGGAACATGGAAATCTCCATCACCTTTTGGAGAGGTTATGATCTTTGGAAAGGCATGGCCTCATTAGAAGTCATAACCTTTTTGAAAATGATGCCACAACTTTTTGGGAAAATGGAATCCATGCAAGGCAATTAGATTTCTTAGCTGTTAAACTGATGTACCTAGTAGGCTTGGGTGGTTTCGTTCATTAATTTCGTAATTCATTATTAATTCGTATTTAAATTAGCTTACGATCCAATATTGAGCCATGCAGGAATAGTGTGAGGAGTAATTAAGAATCGAAACAATTTTTTCCAATTTTCGTAATTATTTCGTAATTATTTTATAATTATTTTCGTATGTCTGGTGCAAGTTTTACAATCTTGCATAATAATATATAATATAATATAATATATAATATAATATATAATATAATATTATAATAATATAATATAATATATAATAATATAACATACAATAATATAATATAATAATATTATAATATAATATACAACAATATAATATAATAATATTATAATAATATAATATAATATAGTTGTTGTTTGTTTTATCACACCAACAGTCAACAACAGAGGGAGAGGGAAGCTTCAGAAGTTCCCCCTGTCCCATTTGGAGGTTTTTTTAGCATATTGCGCAATCGCGTCCGCCATTAATGAATCAATTCGAAATTTACGAAATTTCGTAAATTTCGAAATTTTGAAAAGGACAATTTCGGAAATCCAAAATAAAAAACGAAACACCATCGCCCCCTACAAACGAAACAAGTTTAGAACCAAATTTTTCTGTTGTTACCCAAGCCTAGTACCTAGGTATGTCTTTGAACTGTTAGGGACAAAGATATGCCAGTGCACAAAACACACACACACACATATATATACAGCAGAGTGTCAGAAGTGTTCTTTTAGTTGCCCCAAAACATCTACTCTCCCTTAAAACATGACTGCCTTTAAATCATTGTTCTCAAGAGACAAAACTAAGCAGACCCCTTTAAAAGCTACATACGAGGGTTGAATGAAAAGTAATGCCTCCACCTTCGTTACTTGGGTTTGGATGGGAATATTTTAATAAATCAAATGCAGAAATAATCCTTGGAATGTGCTCTTTAACGACCACTATTTGCTTTTCCACATAATCACCAGACAATTGGATACATTTCTGCCAACGATGAACAAGTTTTCTGAAGCCGTTACGGAAGAAGTCGACACTCTGTTTCTGCAACCCATCGTGCACAAATCTTCCAATAGCCAAGCAAAGTAATAATATGAACCACACGTTATGCTTGAAGTTTCTCTCTGAGTGATACAACGATCGTCCTAAATCAATCTGTCAACCTTTTGCTTGTGAAACTCGGTGGTTGCTGTTACAGGACGTCCAACTCTTTGTTTGTCATGCAAGTAAAATGTTCCCACTTCAACATCTTTAAACTTTCTCACCCAACGACACACAGTACTCACATCAACACAGTCACAATCAACAGCTTACATTCTCTGATGAATCTCCTTTGTGGTGACACCTGCTGTCAAGAATTCAATGACTGCACGTTGCTTAAGTCGTATTGACCGACCGTCTGCGCAGGGTACAAGGAGCATACTACCCCTCTGTTACGTCAACTTCACTGGCTTCTGGTCCAATTCCAAGCACAATTTAAAAGTGCTGGTTTTGGCCTATAAAGCCCTATACCAATGGTTCTCAACCTGGGGTCAACAGATGTTTTTAGCCTACAACTCCCAGAAATCCTAGCCAGTTTACCAGCTGTTAGGATTTCTGAGAGTTGGAGGCCAAAAACATCTGGGGACCCCATGTTGGGAACTACTGCGAGAACATGGCCATATAGACTGAAAAAACCTACAACAACCCAGGTTATCAATACGATTCCAGCCAGACTGTTGCAATTCTATGTCTCAAATGTATGCAATTATTTTATACACTAAAAGGTTTCCAAYACTGATGATACTGTGAGATCACATTATCAAGTCAGAAAGCAATTTATGTGGATGTCTGCAAGACCCAAGCAGGGCTAATTGGTGATAGGGTGACCTAGGAGGCCTCTCATTCTTGGGGCCACCATTAGTTGAAGTCTAATGATCAGCCACAAATGATCAGCCACTGCCAGAAGGGAAAAAGAGTTTCATCTATGCTGACGATCGTGCCATCACCAAAGCAGGGAGCTTTGAAATGGTTGAACAGAAGCTATCCGAAGCTCTAAGTCAGTGGTTCTCAACCTGTGGGTACCCAGATGTTTTGGCCTTCAACTCACAGAAATCCTAACARCTGGTAAGCAGGCTGGGATTTCTGGGAGTTGTAGGCCAAAACACCTGGGGACCCACAGGTTGAGAACCACTGCCCTATACGACTCCGGCCCAGCTTACTTGTCCAAACATATGTCCTCTACATTCCGCCTCATAGTCTAAGATCTGCCGTGGAGGCAAGAAGTCTCCATAGGGACCCCCAAACGCAGCAGCATTGCCCAAACACGCATCAAGGAACATGGAAGGCACTGCAGACTCCTTCAGCCAGAGAAGTCAGCCATAGCAGAGCACCTGAGGAACCAACCTGGACACAGCAGATTATTTGAGAACACAGAAATGCTGGACCACGCCAACAACCACCATGTCAGACTACACAGAGAAGCCATTGAAATCCACAAGACACATGTGGACAATTTCAACGGAAAGGAGGAAACCATGAAAACAAACAAAATCTGGCTACCAGTATTAAAAAAACTCTAAAATTACAACAGCACAACAACAGAGAGGAAACAACCAGGCACATCTTAACACCTCTCAACAAAAGATTTTCCCAGGCACTGTCAGGCCATTATATGCTAATCAAGGTGGTCAGTTGAAACATTCACACCTGGCTCCAGCATCCTGGTCATTCCACAGATATATAAACCCCTTTTCCTAGTTCCAAACAGACCACACTACCTTTGAGGATGCTTGCCATAGATGCAGGCGAAACGTCAGGAGAAAAATTGCTTCCAGAACATGGCCACACAGCCCAAAAAAACCTACAACAACCCAGTGATTCCAGCCATGAAAGCCTTCGACAATACAATAAATAAATGGTTGCAATTTCCAAACTCTGAAGTCCAAAATCCCCTTTCCCTTGCATCTTTAAGAACAACATCATTCCAAGTGCAAACATTAATGTACAAAAAGAGGAGGAGGAGGAGGAGGAAGAGATGGAGGAGGAGGAGGAGGAGTGATGCTGTTCAGACTGGCAATATTGGGAGGCCGGTAAATTTGGGACACATTTCTGTTGTCAAGCTTGATCTTGTCAAGACAAGCAGAAATAGATTAAGCCATTATGTTTCTGTAGCACTTGAGGAGGAAAAAAAAAAAGATAAGCAAGCAGGAGGCATCCATCCAAGAACCAAACTTGGATACAGTTTCATCAGCCGCTGCGGTATGCGCTGCGGATATTTTCAATTTTGGGGGAGGATTCCAGCAAAAGGGACTCAAAAGGAGGAAATGTTTGCGAACCACCCACTCCAACACCAACTAGAGTAAATCAGGCAACCAAATAGGATTCATAGAATCATAGAATCTTAGAGTTGGAAGAGACCTCATGGGCCATCCAGTCCAACCCCATTCTGCCAAGAAGCAGGAATATTGCATTCAAAGCACCCCTGACAGATGGCCATCCAGCCTCTGTTTAAAAGCTTCCAAAGAAGGAGCCTCCACCACACTCCGGGGCAGAGAGTTCCACTGCCTAAAAGCCTAAACCTTTCTGGTTCTCGAAACAGTAGAACCAGCCTTCCCCTGTAGTTCTCTAACTACAAACTGCTTCCCTGATTCTCAATACTGTAGAACCAGTCTTTCCTGCAGTTCTCAGACTACAGACTGACTGTTTTAAAATCCCTGCCCTGCCAAGTGGTAGTTGGCTCCACCCCTTTTCCATGGCAACCCAGCCCAGAGTGAGCTGAGCTGGCTATCCCCTCCTCCCCCCCAGTTATGCTATTTTAAATACTTACCCTTTTAAAACACCTATCTATAATTATACATAACTGTAAGTTTAAATTCACACTTAATCACACTGGGATTTATAGTTCACCTAGAATCAAAGAGCATTCTGAACCCCACCAACGATAGAATTGGGCCAAACTTGCCACACAGAATCCCCATGACCAACAGAAAATACTGTGTTTTCTGGTTGACTTTGTCGACCGTTCTCACACACCCCTCTCGACCCCCTCCCCAGTTGAGAAATGCTGGCTTAAGTCCATCCAGTCCAACTCCCTTCACCAGGGCAAGAAAACATAATCAAAGCCCTCCTGACGAAGAGCCATCTAGCTATAGATATAGACATGTGATTCACACACACACATATGTACTAGCTGTACCACCACACATTGCTGTGGCCAACCTTCCCTCCTTTCACTCCTTTCTCTCTCTCCTTCCTTCCCTCCCTCCCTCCCTCCCTCCCTTTTTTCTTTCATTCTCTCCTCCCTCCCTCCCTTCCTTCTCTTCCTCTTCCTCTTTCCTTCCTTCCCCCTTTTTCTTTCCCTTCCTCTTCCCTTCCTTCCCTCCTTTTTCTTTCCCTTCCTCTTTCTCCCTGTTCTTCCTTCTCTACCTATTCTTGCACAGCAACTTCCAGCAGTTCTCCTGATCAATCGACCTACCTACCTATCTACCTCTATCTCATCTATATATCTATCTTATCAATTGGGCTTGCTCCCTCCTCCCTATGACTTCCCCTCCCATATTTATACATGGCTATCATCATATCTCCTCTCAGCCTTCTCTTCTTCAGGTTAAACATGCCCATCTCCTTAAGCCGCTCCTCATAGGGCTTGTTCTCCAGACCCTTGATCATTTGAGTCACCCTTCTCTGGACACATTCCAGCTTAGAGTCAACATCTCTCTTCAATTGTGGTGCCCA